TCCAACAAAATTTAAGGAGTTAATTTGTCACTAATAGTTCATTATGTGGTAGTGAGTGACACCGTTGAAACTCCTTCCATCCACTGACTTATGGGAACAAGATTTCTTAGGTTACAGCTATAAAAAAGAAAAAAAAGAGAAAGCATTGGAAAGAAACCCTGTCTTTTCTGGCAATAAGTAACATGCATCCATTTAATTAAGAAATGTATTTCCAATAAGATGACACCTTTATGTTTAATAATTATCAAAATTTGTAGTATGTTTATGTTGTATGGATCAAGTATGTAGTACTAATAATTGCAATAATAAATTAATCCGGAAGGAAAACATTAATGCATAGAATTTTAAGTCCAATGTGGAAAACATTTTATTTTATTTTTTTTAAAGATTTTATTTATTTATTTGACAGAGAGAGACACTGAGAGAGGGAACACAAGCAAGGGGAGTGGGAGAGGGAGAAGCAGGCTTCCCACTGAGCAGGGAGCCCGATGCGGGGCTCGATCCCAGAATCCTGGGATCATGACCTGAGCCAAAGGCAGACACTTAACGACGGAGCCACCCAGGCGCCCCAATGTGGAAAATGTTTTGAAATTCAACTAATGTAGTTGTTTTGTCATAGTGAAATATGATTGAGTTATCAATAAAACACTTTCAGGTATAAAAATATTTGTATTAAATTCTTGGTGAAATGGAAGTAGAAAAAAGTTTGAGGAGAGAAAGGAATTAGGTAAACAAACATTTTTCAAGTTTTTTAAATTAAAAAATATTTAATTTTTTAAAATAGGGGACCCCTGGGTAGCACAGTTGGTTGGGCGACCGACTCTTGGTTTCGGCTCCGGTCAAGATCTTGGGGCTGTGGGATCGAGCCTTGTTGGGCTCCGCACTCAGTGCGGAGTCCGCTTGAGATTCTCTTTCCCTCTTCCTCTGCCCCTCCCGCTCATGTGTGCTCCCTCTCTCTCAAATATGAAAATAAATCTTTAAAAAAAAAAATTATGATGGTAGTTATCAAATCTCTTGGGCATTTATCTTCCATTGACTACATTTCAAAGTGATATAACAGCTTAGAGTATCAATATTTACAATGCACAAAATATCCATCCTTTGCATCTATTTAAATGTATGATATTGTAAGTTATCTTATGGAAACTATACATATGATCTTTAAAGTGTGCACAAGGAATATGTATTTTCAAACTTCTTTTAGGAGCTATAAGAGCAAAACGTTGGACTCCCTGACCTTTAACAGGTGGGCCTTGTGGCAGGAACTGAGCACTAAAGAGAAGCAGCGCCCCTTTGTGGCCAGTAGAGAGGCTGCAGCAAAAATGAGCAAGGAGTCCTAGAAAGAAGGTAAATCTGGGGACAAGAGCTGAGACCTAGAGGTTTAATCCAACTTCCACAGGAGAGTCTCTCTCCACTGCACAATCTGTAACGGTTAGGTGTTGCTCCTATGCTCGGACCTGCCACTTGCAGCTGTGGCGCCTGGGATCTGACCACAACAAATAGGAACCAGAGAACAATCTACAAGAATACGCAAGGATGATTTAACAATCTCTTGATGCAGATCTCCCCTGGAAGAGATTGGAGCAAAACCATTTAACAATAATCCCATGAATGCAGAAAAAGTAATAAATTCGAATACTCATTCATTATACATACATACATATATATTAATCCGAACATACTAGAAGGGTATCTGCCCAATCTAATGAAGAATACCAACCAAAACGCCACATGTAAACAAAGTGTTGTAAATTTTCCCTTTAGAGTCAGAAAGAAGGCAAGAATCAAAATTTCAATAAAAAATTCCAATTAAAGGTTTTTATGATCTTTATTTTTTTGTTTCTCAGGTTATATCTTGTATTAAATATCAGTATGAATTGTTGCCAGGAATGGAAGTGCCAGCCACATCATAAACAATGAAATTAAAACTCCTTTTGCAATCAGACATGGGTTCACGCTTTGGATTCAGAAGCCCTGGGAGCTGCATGAGTTAACTTTCCTTGCGGTTCTCTAACCAGTGAAAGCTGCACAGGACCCTTCCATAATGAAGCAGAGAAAAGTCCAAAAGGTGAATGTCCTCTAAAGCTTAGGAGCAAGGAAACACTCTTCAAAGCCTTCAGAATTGCTCCTTTCCTGTCCATTAGTGCCTGAATCCCTGGACAACGCCTGTGAGCATAGCTATTACCGTAGGGTGGGAACTTTGCATGTTCGTGGATCTCTAACTTCCCATTACGTTGTGAAATATAAAAAGCATGCAAAAAGTATCAAAATGGGGGCACCTGGGTGGCTCAGTCATTAAGCATCTGCCTTCGGCTCAGGTCATGATCCCAGGGTCCTGGGATTGAGCCCCCGAGTCAGGCTTCCTGCTCAGCGGGAAGCCTGCTTCTCCCTCCCCCACTCCCCCTGCTTGTGTTCCCTCTCTTGCTGTCTCTCTCTCTATCAAAAAATAAAAAAATAAAAAATAAAAAAAAGTATCAAAACAAATGTGTGCATGGATGAACCCAGCAGACGTTGCTCTAAGTGAAAGCAGCCAGTCACAAGGGGCCACAGGTTGTCTGCTTCCATTTATATGAAATATCCAGAACAGGCACTTTAGAGATAGAAAGTAGATTAGTGGTTGCCAGAGGCTGAGGAACAGGGAGTGTTTGTGTGTGTATGTGTGTGTGGGGAGGAATAACTGCTAATGGGTAGAGTTTCTCTTTGAGGTGACAAAAATGTTCTAAAATTAGATAATGGTGATGATTGCACAACTCCAAATATACTAAAAACCATTGAATTATACACTTTAAATGGATGAATTGCATGGCAAGTGAATCATATCCAGTAAAGCTGTTTTTAAAATGTAAGACTTTTTATTTATTTTATTTTTTTATTATTTTCTTAAGATTGTGTTTATTTGACAGAGAGAAAGAGGGAGAGCACAAGCAGGGAGGAGGGGCAGAGGGAGAGGGAGAAGCGGGCTCCCCGCCCAGCAGGGAGCCTGATGAGGGGCTCTATCCCAGGACCTGGAGATCATGACCTGAGCCGAAGGCAGACGCTTAACCAACTGAGCCACCCAGGCGCCCCTGTAATAGACTTTTAAAATAATTAAAATGTAAAATTTAAAATACATGTTACATATGATTGACTAGTTATGAGCAAAGGAACCAGCAAAGTCGGGGGAAAAGTGCCAATTTAAAGACAGTGTCAGGGGCGCCTGGGTGGCTCAGTCATTAAGCGCCTGCCTTCCGCTCTGGTCATGATCTCAGGGTCCTGGGATCGAGCCCCACATGGGGCTCCCTGCTGCGCGGGAAGCCTGCTTCTCCCTCTTCCACTCCCCCTGCTTGTGTTCCCTCTCTCTGTCAAATAAAAAAAAAAAAAGAAGGTGTCAAAGTTGGGAAGGAAAATATTTATATATATAATCAGCTAGAAAAAAAAAGAACTGCAATTTCCTTTCTCAAGGTTGTTTCCTTTCTCTAATTTGATACTTTGATACTCACAATAGTTAGGGAACCCTTGTAGGCGGGTCGGATCTAGTAACTGAGCGCCACAGAGGAAAGAATGGCACATTTTATTTCATTTTTTTCTTGGGGGGGGGTTCTTTTTTTAAAAATTTAAATTCAATTAATTAACATACAGTGTCTTATTAGTTTCAGAGGTAGAGTTCAGTGATTCATCATGTATGTAACACCCAGTGCTCATTCCATCCAGTGCCCTCCTTAATGCCCATCACCCAGCTACCCCCTCACCCCACCCTCCCCTCCAGCAACCCTCAGTTTATTTCCTATGATTAAGAGTCTCTTGGGGCGCCTGGGTGGCTCAGTGGGTTAAGCGACTGCCTTCGGCTCAGGTCATGATCCTGAAGTCCCGGGATCGAGTCCTGCACCGGGCTCCCGCTCAGCTGGGAGTCTGCTTCTCCCTCTGACCATCTCCCCTCTCATGCTCTCTCTATCTCATTCTCTCTCTCAAATAAATAAATAAAATCTTAAAAAAAAAAAAAAGAGTCTCTTATGGTTTGTCTCCCTCTCTGATTTTGTTTTGTTTTATTTTTCTCAGGTTTGTTTCCTTTACTAACCAGAATCAAAAAGCACATTAAAGAACAATACATACAGAACAGCACATTTTAAAAGCATACTATAAGGGTGGGGTGCCTGGCGGGTTCAGTCCAAAAGCACCTGACTCTTGATCTTGGGATCATGAGTTCAAGCCCCACAATGGGTGTAGAGATTACTTTAAAAAATAAATAAATAAACTTAAAAAAAAAAAAAGTAAAAGCATAGGATAAAGAGACACGGGATCTGAAACTGGAATACAAGATTTCATCTCTCAGAGCAGCAGGTGGGGCAGGAAACCTGAAGCCAAACACGCAGGCTCCAATTTTAAACAGGACCCTGGCAGGAATTTTTCTCAAACTGCAGACAAAAATGCAGAATGGTGAAGAGTGTATAATCTGCAGGTGCACGGTTAAAACAGGACAAACAAAACACCCGTGTGCCTACCACGCAGCTTACGAAAAAATACAACCTGTGTGCTCTTCCCAACCTTACCCCTCCCCACTGAAGGGAGGAACCACTGTCCCGATTTTTATATCAATCACTCATTTGCTAATTTTCTCGTATTCGATTTAACGGCAGTCTTTAATCGACAGAAACCAAACTCAGGTGTACAAATATATAAAACATAAAACCCGAGTCTCTTATCAATAGGGCGTTTAGATCTCAGCCCATCCTCTGCTTCGCCCCGTAACGGTGACGCCGAGGTACAGCGTGCACACTAACCTGTTTTCCCAACTGACAGAGCGGTGACTTGATTATTTGCATACCCACAGTGCACTGCGGTCGGTACAAGTTTAAAACAATAAAACTTAAAAATTCCTCCACTTGTACATCTTACAGTTAGGTCTCTACTTAGAAAATAACCTAAAAGTTTTTATTCAGGCACTGAGTCTTGCGGTTAATTAGACACCATCACTGAACTAGGATTTTTTTTCAACCGAGGTATGAGTTACAACATCAAACGTTACGCTCTGGTTTCTCTTCAGATCGCATAAATCTTTCGCCTTTTACTAAAGATTTCCGTGGAGAGGAACAAGTCTGAGTATTAACCCAATTTTTTGAGGCCTTGCTTCTGCAGGGCTTATTTGTTCTTTCAAGAAAAGATGTAAATGCTTGGTGTGGTGTGGGTTTTCCTGTGTGATGTAATTTATTACATAACTGTCTGCAAAGCGGTTGTGTTGCTTTCGTTGCTGTTGTACTATCTGATTTACAATCATGGTTAGTTTTTTTTTTTCTCGCCTTTTTTCTACTTAGGATTGGAGTTCGCGTTTTCTCACTTCGAATGTCTTCAGGGAGAATGTGGTGTAAGTCGCGTTATTTCGTTCTTTCTTGCCTGCTTTTTGTAACACATCGGTGTCTTTTCAGTTTTTTGGAACTATTTCTTTACTTGAAACTGAGTTCAATTGTTTGGTTATGTGTGTTGGCCGTTTCTTTCTTATGGTTCCTTGTCAAGCAGCGTGAAGCTTTCCTCTGTTTTCGTCTTATTTTTCTTTCCTTTCCCCTGTGTTCATCTGTTTTGTTTTTTAACTTCCACATACGAGGTAAATCATGTGGTATTTGTCTTTGATTTATTTTGCTTAGCATTAATACTGTTCCATACACATGTTTGTAAATGGCAAGATTTCATTCTGGGTTTAAAGTTTTACAAGCCAGTTAAATAAGAAGGAAGGTCCTCTTGCTCTCTAGTCAAGTAGAAGCAGGGGGATTTAAAGTTGTTTTTTGTTTTTTTAAAGCTGGTTAAATAATTAAGAAGGAAAGCGTATGAGGTTGATTTTATTTAGTCCAAGATTTTGTTTCAACGTGAAACCAATATAGAAAATTAAAAGTGCTTGCATTATCTTTTTTGGTGCTAAATCTTCTAAATCCAGTTTGTATCTTGCACTTGATATATTTCAGGTGGGCCTTGCTGCTCTTCAGGCACTCAATCAGCACGTGAAACTAATGACAGTATCGGGCAGCACGGGTCTTGTATTAATTACATTGCCCGAACAGACCAGTTTATAGATCCTTCTCTCTTCATGGAGGTTTGGTTTCTTTCCCTATATTTTGGTTGTTAGAATGATGTTACTCACAATGTGTGTGCAAGACTTTCTTTTCCTAAAGTGTGGAATGGAACCACTGGGTCAGGGCAGGTAAATGTAATAATTTGTCCCAGGAGTGAGTGTACTCATTTCCATTTCCATCAATGGCATTTGTGTATTCCCATAGCTTTTCGTCCTTACTGGCTGTTGGTTCACTGACTTTAATTTTTGCCCATCTGGTAGTCATGAAATGATATCTGACAGTAGTTTTAATGTATTTTAATTCTCTAATTACTTCTGAGGTTGAATATCTTTTTAAAGATTTTTTTTGGCCATCATGGTTTACCTTCATTGAAATGCCTGTATGTGTCTTTTGCCCATTTTTTTTTTTTCTTATATTGTGAATCTTTGTCTTAGTTATTTTGGTAGGTTTTTTTAACACAACCTCTAGACTCTAGAGACTTTTATTTTTTTAAGATTTATCTATTTTAGAGAGAGAGCACGCGCATGAGCATGAGAAGCAGAATCCTCAAGCTGACTGATTTCACGCTGAGTGCAGAGCCTGACGCAGGGCTTGGTCCCACAACCCTGAGATCACAACCCAGCCGAAACCAAGAGTCTGACACTTCACCGACTGAACCACCCAGGCGCCCCTATAGAGATTTTAAATAGTAATTCTTTGTTGGTTATATGATGCAGGTAACTTCTTTCTGTTTATAGCTTCCCTTTCCATTCTTCTTACAGTGTGTCTTGGTGAAGTGGTCTTAATTTTAATGTCAGATCGATTTTTTTCTTCATTCTGATTTGTGCTTTTGTGTGTGTTTTGTTTATTAAATCACTACCTCAGGTTATTAAGGAAATTCTTTTAAAGTTATGTCTTTTGTATTTAAGTTCTTGATTCTTCTGGAACTGAATTTTTGTGTGAAGTGTGGATCAATTTTTATCCACCACCCCCCGCCCCCCACTGACAGTTGTCCCTCACTATTTTTTTTTTTTAAGATTTTATTTTATTTGGCAGAGAGAGACAGCGAGAAAGGGAACACAAGTAGGGGGAGTGGGAGAAGGAGAAGCGGGCTTCCGGCGGAGCAGGGAGCCCGATGTGGGGCTGGATCCCAGGACACTGGGATCATGACCTGAGCCGAAGGCAGACGCTTAATGACTGAGCCACCCAGGCGCCCCCAAGAGGAATTCTTGTGGCATTCAACAAGGTGACTTAAAAATTCATTTTGGGGGCACCTGGATGACTCAGTCAGTTAAGCATCGGACTCTTTTTTTTTTTTTAGATTTTATTTATTTATTTGACAGGGAGAGACAAAGCAAGAGAGGGAACACAAGCAGGGGGAGTGGGAGAGGGAGAAGCAGGCTTCCCGCTGAGCAGGGAGCCCGAAGCCGGGCTCGATCCCAGGACCCTGGGATCATGACCTGAGCCGAAGGCAGACGCTTAATGACTGAGCCACCCAGGCGCCCCAACTTATTTAAATTTCTAATCATTCAAGGAAACACATTTGGTTCCTCGGTCCCACTAGCCACACTTCAAGTACCCAGCAGCCACAGGTGGCTAGGGGTAAATGTATTGGATAGCACAGATCTGGAACATTCCAGCACCCAGGCGCCCCAAGCATCTGACTCTTGATTTTGGCTCGGGTCATGACATGGAACCCGCTATACACACACACCCCAGCATCTGCTCCATACTGGAGGCCGGAGGCAACACGGAAGAAGTCCCATCGTCCAGCCAGTCCTTGCAGCCAGGATTGTGGATGCTGCTCTGGCTACACCATGTCACTGTGCAAACAGCACCTCAAGGATGCCAAGGACGGGGCCCTCTGGTTAGTGATGACCCCTCACTTTGGGTCTTCAGAGGGTGAAGGGATCCCTCCCTTGTGCTCAGCCTAACACAGAGCTGAGAAAGCCAGCCCAGGCACTCACTTCTGTTTCCTCAGTGTCTGAATCGGCCCCGTTGGGGGGCAAGTCCCCTCACAGCCCAGGACCGCCTGGGATCCCAGGGAGCGCTGGCTGCCTCTTCTTTCCGAGGCCCCCTACAGGATCCCTTTCCCATCCAGCCTTTCTAAGGGCAGCCCGGAGGGTCTCCAGAACACAAAGGAATTCAAATTACACTCCCCTTTCCAGGACATTGGGATTATTGTCTAGGGGAGCCCCTTCCCTGTCAATAGAGTAGCCTCTTCATTTCCTCAAGGGTATTTTACCTCCTGCAGGGACGCGGGGGACTTTCTGATCCTTTCTCTCTCTCTCTCTCTCTTTTAATAGATGTATTCAGCCATGTATTAGGAAATATTGATTCGGGGCATTTAAATTCCAGTTAGTTGGGGCACCTGGGTGGCTCAGTTGGTTGAACATCTGACTCTTGGTTTTGGCTCAGGTCATGATCTCAGGGTCCTGGGATCGAGCCCCACGTCGTCAGGCTCCAAGCTCAGTGGGGGAGTCTGCCTGAGATTCTCTCCCTCTCCCTTTGCCCCTCCCCCTGCTCGTCTACTCCCTCTCTCACTCTAAAATAAATAATCTTTTAAAAAAAAATTCCAGTTAACATACAGTGTAATATTAGTTTCAGCTGTACAAATAGTGATTCAACACTTCCATATATCCCCCGTGCTCATCACAAGTGTACTCCTTAGTCCCCATCACCTACTTAACCCAGCCCCCCACCCGCCCTCACCTCCCCTGGGAACCATCAGTTCTGTATAGTTAAGAGTTTGTTTCTTGGCTTGCCTTTCTCTCACTGTCTTTTCATTTTTCTTTGCTCATTTGTTTCTTAAATTCCACATGAGTGAAATCATATGGTATTTGTCTTTTTCTGACTTATTTCACTTAGCATAATACTCTCTAGCTCCTTCCATGTCATTGCAAATGGCAAGATTTCATTCTTTTTTATGGCTGAGTAATATTTCTGTGTGTGTGTGTGTGTGTGTCTACACACCACATCTTCTTTATCCATTCATCAGTCCACGGACACTTGGGCTATTTCCGTAATTTGGCTATTGTAAATAATGCTGCCATAAACATAGGGGTGTGTGTATCCCTTTGAACTAGTATTTTTGTGTTCTTTGGGTAAATACCTAGGGTAATTGGTTCCCCTTTCTCCACATCCTCTCCAGCACCTGTTGTTTTTTTGTGTTGTTGATTTTAGCCATTCTGACAGGTATGAGGTGATCTTTCATTGTAGTTTTGATTTGCATTTCCCTGATGACGACTGATGTTGAGCATTTTTTCATATGTCTGTTGGCCATCTGGATATCTATGGAGAAGTGTCTGTTCATTTCTTCTGCCCATTTTTAAATTGGATTATTTGTTTTTTGGGTGTTGAGTTGTTTTTTTTAAGATTTTATTTATTTGAGAGAGAGAGTGAGAGCACATTAGCAGGGGGAGGGGCAGAGGGAGAAGCAGACTCACTGCTGAGCAGGAAGCCCCACGCGGGGCTCCATCCCAAGACCCTGGGATCATGACCTGAGTCGAAGGCAGAAGCTTAACTGACTGAGCCATCCAGGCACCCTGGGTGTTGAGTTTTATAGGTCCTTTATATATTTTGGATACTAACCCTTTATCAGATATGTCATTTGCAAATACCGTCTCCCATTCAGTAGGTTGCCTTTCAGTTTTGTTGAGTGTTTCCTTTGCTGTGCAGAAGCTTTTTATTTTGATGTAGTCCTGATAGATTATTTTTGCTTTTGTTTCCCTTGCCTCAGGAGACATATCTAGAAAAAAGTTGCTGCAGCTGATGTCAGAGAAATTACTGCATGTGCTTTCTTCAAGAACTTTTATGGTTTCAAGTCTCACATTTAGGTCTTTAATCCATGTTGAGTCTATTTTGTGTATGGTGAAAGAGAGTAGTCCAGTTTCATTCTTCTGCATGTGGCTGTCCAGTTTTCCCAGCACCATTTGTTGAAGAGACTGTCTTTTTCCCTTTGGATATTCTTTCCTACTTTGTCTAAGCTTAATTGACCATATAACTGTGGGTTCATTTCTGGGTTCTATTCTGTTCTATAGATCTTTCTATTTTTGTGCCAGTACCATACTGTTTTGATCACTGCAGCTTTGTAATATAACTTGAAGTCTGGAATTGTGATGCCTCCAGCTTTGCTTTTTTTTTTTTTCAAGGTTGCTTTGGCTATTGAGGGTCTTTTGTGGTTCCAAACAAATTTAGGTTTGTTTGTTCTAGTTTTGTGAAAAATGCTGTTGGTATTTTGAAAGGGATTGCATTAAATGTACAGATTGCTTTGGGTAGTGTGGACATTTTAATATTTCTTCTTCCAATCCATAAGCATGGAATGTCTTTCCATTTTTTTGGGTCGTCTTCAATGTCTTTCGTCAGTGTTTTCTAGTTTTCAGAGTACAGGTCTTTCACCTCTTTGGTTAGGTTTATTCCTAGGGTTTTTAAATTTTTTTAAAGATTTATTTATTTATTAGAGAGAGAGAGAGAACAAGCTCTGAGGCCTTGGCAGTAGGATGACTAATTATTTCCCCTTGTTCTTCAGCACATTCAGACAGTCTCTGGCTTCCACATACTTGGTCTGTACCCCTTGACCTGGGCAATGGACATGAACAAGAACTCCACTTCCTGGTTCAGCTCGTTCTTGAGCATCTCTAGCTGTGGTAAGTTCTGTTAGTGATGTTAACTGCTCCATGTTGGGGGAAGGAGGACTAACTATCTTATTATTTTTGGTGCAATTGTAAATGGGATTGATTCCTTAATTTCTCTTTCTGCTGCTTTGTTATTAGTATATAGAAATGCAAGAGAGGGGTTCCTGGGTGGTGCAGTCGGTTGGGCATTAGTTTCAACTCAGGTCTGATCTCAGGGTCATGAGATCGAGCCCAAAGTTGGGTTCTGCATTCAGCGTGGAGTCTACTTGAGTTTCTCTCTCACTCTTCCTTTCCCCTTCCCACTGTGCGCTCTGTCTCTCTCTGAAATAAATAAGTAAATCTTTAAAAAAGAGAGAAATGGGGCGCCTGGGTGGCTCAGTTGGTTAAACGACTGCCTTCAGCTCAGGTCATGATCCCAGGGTCCCGGGATCGAGTCCCGCATCGGGCTCCCTGCTCTGCGGGGAGCCTGCTTCTCCCTCTCCCACTCCCCCTGCTTGTGTTCCCTCTCTCGCTGTGTCTCTCTCTGTCAAATAAATAAATAAAATCTTTAAAAAAAAAAAAAAGAGAGAAATGCAGCAGATTTCTGTACATTGATTTTGTATTCTGCGACTTTACTGAATTTATCAGTTCTAGCAGTTTTTTCATGGAGCCCTTTGGGTTTTCTATATAGAGTATCATGTCATCTGCAAATAGTGAAAATTTTACTTCTTCCTGCTGATTTAGATACCTATTATTACTTTTTGTTGTCTGATTGCTGTGGCTAGGATATCCAGTACTATGTTGAATAAAAGTGGCGAGAGTGGACATCCCTGTCTTGTTCCTGACCATAGAGGAAAAGCTCTGTTTTTCCCCATTTAGAATGATGTTAACTGTGGGTTTTTCATATATAGCCTGTATTATGTTGATGTATGTTCACTCTAAATCTACTTTGTTGAGGGTTTTTACCATGAATGGATGTTGTACTTTGTCAGATATTTTTTCTGCATCTATTGAAATGATCATATAGTTCTTTTTTTTTTAAAAGATATATTTATTTTAGAGAAAGAGAGACCGTGTGTACATGAGTGGGGGGTGGGGCAGAGGGAGAGAAGCAGACGCCTCCCTGAGCACAGAGTCCGACATAGGACTCAGTCTCACAACCCCGAGATCATGACCTAAGCTGAAATCAAGAGTCGGACACTTAACCAACTGAGCCACCCATGTGCCATGAAATGATCATCAGTTTTATCCTTTCTGTTATTGATGTGATGTATTATGTTGATTGATTTGCAAATATTGAACCACCCTTGCAACCCAAGAATAAATTGCGCTTGATCATGGTGAATGATTTTTTAATGTATTGTTGGATTCAGTTTGCTAGTATTTTGTTGAGGATTTTTGCATCCATGTTCATCAGAGATATCTTTATCTGATTTTGGTATCAGGGTCATGCTGGCCTCATAGAATGAATTTGGAAGTTTTCCTTCCTTTTCTATATTTTGGAGTAGTTTGAGAATAGGTATTCTTCTTTATTTTTTAGAAATATTTTATTTATTTATTTGCCAGAGAGAGGGAGAGCACAAGCAGAGAGAGCTGCAGGCAGAGGGAGAAGCAGGCTCCCCACTGGGGAAGGAGCCCGATGAGGGACTCGATCCCAGGACCCTGGGGTCATGACCTGAGCCGAAGGCAGACGCTTAATAACTGAGCCACTCAGGTGTCCCTAATTCTTGAAATGTTTGGTAGAATTTGCCTGTGAAGCCATCTAGTCCTGGACACTTTTTTTTTTAATGTAATCTCTTGACCCCAAGATCAAGAGGCACACTCTTCCAGCTGAGCCAGATGCCCCAAATTTGTTCTTCCTAATTTTATTTTATTATTTATTTATTAAAGATGTTTATTTTTAAGTAATCTCTACACCCAATGTAGGGCTCAAACTTACAACCCCAAGATCAAGAGCTGCATGCTCGGGTGCCTAGGTGGCTCATTCGGTTAAGCCTCTGCCTTTGGCTCAGGGCATGATCCCAGGGTTCTGGGATCAAGTCCCACAGCGAGCTCCCTGCTCAGCAGGGAATCTGCTCCTCCCCACCCCACCCTTCCCCCTGCTCGTGATTTCTCTCTCTCTCTTTCTCAAATAAATAAAACCTTTAAACAAAAAAAAGGGGGGGGTGCCTGGGTGGCTCAGTCATTGGGCATCTGCCTTCAGCTCAGGTCGTGATCCCGGGGTCCTGGGATCGAGCCCCACATCGGGCTCCTGGCTCTGCGGGAAGCCTGCTTCTCCCTCTCCCACTCCTCCTGCTTGTGTTCCCTCTCTCACTGTGTCTCTCTCTGTCAAATAAATAAAATCTTAAAAAAAAAAAAAAAAAAGCTACATGCTCTGTGGACTGAGCCAGCCAGGTGCCCCATGGTCCTGGACTTTTGTTTGTTGGAAATTTTTTTATTACTGATCAATTTCTTTGCTGGTTATCGGTCTGTTCAAATTTTCTGTTTCGGTTTTGGTAATTTATATGTTTTTAGGAATTTATCCATTTCTTCTGTGTTGTCCAATTTGTTGGCATATAGTTTTTCATAATCTCTTATAATTGTATTTCTGTGGTATTGGTTGTTATTTCTCCTCTCCCATTTGTGATTTTATTTATTTGTGTCCTTCCTTTTTCTTTTTGATAGTTCTGGCTTAATGTTTATCAATTATTAATTTTTTTGAAAAGCCAGCTCCTGGTTTAATTGATCTTTTCTATTGTTTTTTTCTTTTTATGTATGTATATAACCTCTGTGCCCAATATGGGTCTCGAACTCATGACCCCAAGATCAAGAGTTGCCTGCTCTACCAACTGAGCCAACCAGGCTCCCCTGTTCTAGTGCTTTTTTAGTTTCTAACTCATTTATTTCTGCTCTAATCTTATTAGTTCCTTCCTTCTTCTGGCTTTAGGCTTTGTTTATTATTCTTTTCCTAGCTCTTTTAGGTGTAAGGTTAGGTTGTTTATGTGAGATTTCTCTTGCTTCTTGAGGTAGGCCTGTGTTACTATATACTTCCTTCTTAGAACCACTTTTGTGGGGTGCCTGGGTGGCTCAGTCAGTTAAGAATCTGACTCTTGATTTTGGCTCAGGCCATGATCTCAGGCTTGTGAGATCAAGCCCCATATTGGGCTCTGCACTGAATGCAGAGCCTGCTTGGGATTCTCTCCATCTCCCTCTGCCTTGCTCACATGCGCTCTCTCTCTCTCAAAAAAAAAAAAAAAAAATCACTTTTGCTGCATCCCAAGGTTTTGTGTTTTCATTTTCATTTGTTTCCATGTATTTTTTTTTTAATTTCTTCTTTTATTTCCTGATTGACACATTCATTGTTTCATAGCATGTTACTTAGCCTCTATGTATTTGTGGTCTTTCCAGATTTTTTCTTGTGGGTGACTTCTACTGTCATGGCATTGTGGTCAGAAAAGGTGCATGGTATGACTTTGGTTTTCTTGAATTTATTGAGGCCTGTTTTGTGGCCTAATATATGATCTATTCTGGAGACTGTTCTATGTGCATTGAAAAGAATGTGTATTCTGCTGTTTTAGGATGGAATGTTCTGAATATATCTGTTAAATCCATCTGGTCTAGTGTGTCATTCAAAGCCATTGTTTCCTTGTTGATTTTCTGTTTAGATGATCTGTCCATTAATGTAAGTGGGATGTTAAAGTTCCCTACTATTGTATTATTATCAATTAGTTCCTTCATGTTTGCTATTAATTGTTTTATGTATTTGGGTGCTCCCATGTTGGGTGCATAAATATTTATAATTGTTAGATCTTCTTGTTGGATTGTCCCCTTTATTATTATTTTTTTAAAGATTTTATTTATTTAGGGGCGGCTGGGTGGCTCAGTCGCTAAGCGTCTGCCTTCAGCTCGGGTCATAATCCCAGGGTCCTGGGATCGAGCCCCGCATCGGGCTCCCTGCTCTGCGGGAAGCCTGCTTCTCCCTCTCCCACTCCCCCTGCTTGTGTTCCCTCTCTTGCTGTGTCTCTCTCTGTCAAATAAATAAGTAAAATCTTTTTAAAAATTTATTTATTTATTTATTTGACAGAGAGAGTGAGTGAGCACACAAGCAGGGGGAGCAGCAGAGGGAGAGGGAGAAACGGGCCCTCTACTGAGCAGGGAGCCAGATGTGGGACTCGATCCCAGGACCCTGAGATCATGACCTGAGCTGAAGGCAGACACTTAACTGACTGAGCCATCCAGGCACCCCATCCCCTTTATTATTAGGTAGTGTCCTTCTTTGTCTCTTTTTACAGTCTTTGTTTAAAAGTCTATTTTGTCCAATACAAGTATTGCTACTCCAGCTTTCTTTGAACATCTATTTGCATGGTAGATGTTTTCTCCATCCCTTCACTTTGAACCTGCAGGTGTCTTTAGGTCTAAAATGAGTCTCTTGTAGGCAGCATATAGACGGGTCTTGCTTTTTTTTTTTTTTTAATCCATTCTGACACTGTTTCTTTTGATTAAAGCATTTAGTCCATTTACGTTCAAGTCATTATTGATTTAAAAAAGGTAATTATTGATAGATATGTATTTATTGCCATTTTATTACTTGTGATTGTTTCTGGAGATTTTCTCTGATCCTTTTATATCTTTCTTTCTTTCATGGCTTGCTGGTTTTCTTTAGTGATATATTTGGATTTCTTTCTCTTTGTTCTTTGCATATTTATTTGTAGTTTTTGATTTGTGGTTACCATTAGGTTTGTATATAACGTCTTCTGTGTATAGCAGTCTATATTAAGTTGATGGTCGTTTAAGCTTGAACCCATTCTTTACTCCGGTCCTCCCCACGTTTTAGGTATATGTTGTCATATTTTACCTCCTTTTTTAAAGTGAGTTCCTTGACTGATTTTTTATAGAAATACTCATTTTTACTGCTTTTGTGTTTCCTACCTTCCTACTTTCACTTTTGCTCTTTCTTTTCCACTCACAGAGTCCCCTTTAGTATTTCTTGCAGAGCTGTTTTCATGGTCATGAACTCCTTTAATTTTTTGTTTATCTGTGAAACTCTTTATTTC